TAAGTAATTCCATATTAGTTTGTTTATTAGATATATCACACACACAGTGAAACAATATTATTTATTGGATATATATCACTGTGTGATATATCTAATAAACAAACTAATATGGAATCATTTAAAAATTACCTATGCTGTACTGTCATTCGTAGAACCCAAGTGGAACATAGGACTTCAAACTTTGAGCTTTCAGTAGTGCTGGTGTTGTTCTTTCTTACTAGTTTGACGCCCAATCTTCCCTCTATTCCAGGCTTATCATAAGCTAAACTAAGTTTAGGAGTTGACCGGACAGGAATCTAACCTAGATCCCTAGAGTGGTTAGCGAGAATTCTAATACTGAATCAATGAAGTAGAGTATTTTGTGGGACACAAAAGTACTTAGATCTCAGTTTATCGGGACTTAACTAACCTTAATATAGATTTCATGGTAAATCAACAGTAGTTAGAGAAGCGTAAGGCGGTAGACAAATTTATTGTCCACCTTTATGACTCTCAGTAATTTACACCAAAAATCATACCAAGAGTTACACTCAGATCCTTCAGGTTACGAGTTGTACTTGCCATCAGTTTGAAATCCAATAGATTGCAAGTTCCAACTACTGTTAACTGACGATATAGCACCATTTTTATTGATTTTTTTTTAAATTTTTGATTTACAGCTTGATTCCACACTGTATTTTTCGTACAAGTATGGAATTTTCAGCATGGATATCGGTAGCCCAAATTTTGTAGGCCGACCATAGATATCAGGTGTGCGTCGGCGTGGGCTCGAACCCCGGACCATGTGCAGGGTCGGTGAAAGTCCTAACCACTGTGCCACCGACGCACCATTATTACTACCTGCTATTCAATTGCTCTCTAAATAACTCTCATTCATGAACAAATCCTACCTGAGTAAATATTTGCTTAAAATTAAGAAAAATGTATTGATTTTCAGCATTTTAGGTTGAGTTTTTAAAAAGCTTAATAAGTCTTCCTATTTTGCTCTGGATTTAGACAGGGAGTTTTTTTTTAAAAAAAATAACAGCAATTAGATGCAAAAATCAATTTTGATTTTCGTCTGACAGAAATTTTGTAAAATCAAATCCAAGTGATAACTAATTTTTTATTATTTTGTTTCTGTCAGATAAAAAGAATGAACAAACTGCCTGCTGGGAATATCCATAGACTATCACTGCTTATATTTATCTTTAGTATAAGTACTAAGGGATGAAAGAGCGAAAGAAGGACAAACATCTTCCATTCGTAAAATGAAGAGCTTTTACTGTTGTTTCTTTTTCAATTTTCCTCCCTCCTCAACTGCCTCTGTATCTCCATCCATCACTTGAAGTTTTATTACGCTTGACAGCGAAAAGCAAGGTGAGAACATTACACAGTATTTAAAAAAATATCAATGATTTGACTAAAACTGACGCGATTTGGCACGAAAAATGGTCACATAAACAATCTAAGACACAAACAGACAAAGGCTGAATGGTAGTCAGCAATTCGACACGGCTAATACTGGACATTAGTGAGGGTTCTGGTTCATACAAACCTGGCTGCGGTGTACGTCATAGTCCTAATGCCGACCACAGCTTAATCTCGATTCAAATCTGGTGAAGCAGCTGATCTAGGAATTGAGTGATCTAGTTATTCAGTTCAGCTTATGTTTCCTTCACTATGCTGTTCACTGCCAACCCTTCACTTATTTATAAACTGAGTTATCAGATTTGATAAGAACAACGAATAACTTTCGTAAAATAAGTGTGCTTCAAAAATGAATCGTACATTTTTCCTGCATTCTAAACTTTGAATACACATTTTGAGTGACAAATGCTCTCACAAAGCTAAGAATATTTATCAGAAAACATTTTACATTCGTAAATATAATACGAAATGGAGAGATAATCAAGTGATTTTCATGGTACACCAATGTAATTACACAATCCTGTTTGATTTGTAATCACAGCACGTTATAAAAGAAGTGTTTCTCAAGTTATGCGTTATTTTGTTTAATCTCCAAGATCGTTTCATCATGACCGCAGAGTTTTCATCAATGCGCATGTACAACTGCAATAATACCAGATCATGGTTTGTAAGTTACAGTCTGAGTCTGTGACTGAATGGCGAAACATAGCATTGTGGTTCTCTTCGAAAGACTGTGACAAACTAAGAAGAAGCAGCTGTTCGCGGATCTTCGTGTTTCAATTTTTCGCTGACTGATTTTATTTGGTGAAGAAGTCCACCCAGTATATATACTTACTTATCCTGTTCAATTCGAAATGTCACAAATCTTTTGCTTGCTAATTTAAAACTAGCACAGAAATATAAATGAAAAAATAACAACCAGTGATCATGAAAGTCTCATTGCCTCATCCGATCAAACAGTGGATATCGCTAGGCAGCATGTTATAGTCCATCTGCACAAGAGGATAATTTGGCTGGCTAATTGGGTGCAGCAGTACGAACAGAATGATTATTATAGTAATAGTTTCATCACTAATGACAATTACAATAAATACATGATGAAACTAACATATATCATTGTAAAACTATTGAAATAATTATGATTGACATCGTTTAACATGTTATTATGAGCCTATTATGATGATGATGATGATTACCACATATAATTGAAAGCAGTGTACTGATTTTGTCCATTATCTGGGTTGATTTAATCAAACCAAAAATCGACAGACTTTGCCCGTTTAAAAAAGTTAATTCATTACTCAAAAATAGCTGAGATGCATTTCCCCTTGAAAGTTGGATCAATGTAATCGGCTAGCAACGTCACATACTGAATGTCCATGATATTCACTCCATTTTAAAAGAATGACTTGGTTGTGTGTCATGCAAATGTATACACAACAAAACAGAACTACTTAGTTAGTAGCGACTAGAGTCAGCGTTTAGGAGGTCAGTTTCGTTTCATTTGGAATTCGTCATCTGGATGTGACTGCATTCTTAGAATTTGGGCCAGCACATATCGTTTCAGATAAAAGTCTCAAACAACTAGGGACAAGCGTCCTAGATTCCACTGATAGCCAGCACGAGTCAAGTAATATTTAGATTGAACACCATTAACTAGTGCAACGTGTCTAGTCCTTACTTTGGTGCAAACTGAATTCTATCAGTCAGGTTTGCAATGTGGCCACCATTCTAGGTAGCTCGCCATCACGGTGCACATTGATTTGATGATATTAGATAATTGGAGGCAATCGGCGTCCCTACTAGGGTCTGATATGTTAACAAATACTTAGTCTTTCGGTGCAGTACAATCACAAATATTTGAAATCCATAATAAATTTGACCTCTGAGACGATATTATTTTTTCAGCAAATCAAAACAAAGAAATTTGAAATATCTGTGAATCATCTAGTTTGACGCAGATGAATACTGGTTTTGCAAAGTAATTGTCATCTTGTTGTTAACTTCTCACTTTTAATGATTAGGATTTGCGTACATTGGTAAAAAATAATTTAACGTTAGATGCGTTTATTTAATACAACACAAAGCCATGAAGCGTTAAAAACAGTGTTAGCTATAATTCAGTCATTAACACTGTATTACAGTCTGTGTTGCATCAAATAAACTTGTCTAATATGGAACTGTTCAACTTTAGGAAAGATGATTAATGGGCTGATCTAAAATCACTACCTGACACATTATGAAAATTGCATAGGCATATATACTTGTGATGAAATCAGCTTGATGTGATTTTTCAACATTTTTATTCCTTTGCGTCCCCAATGGAATATCGGAGTTCAAGCTAGACCTTTGTAGTTTCAGTAGCACTGGTTTTATTTTTTACGAGGTGCGATTGCTAGCCACACGCTGAACCTTCCCTCTTTCCTCGACTTGTTACCAACAAAGCGAGGTTCAAGGGTGTGTCGGTCGAAGTTTGAACCCTAAACCACGTGAGTGGCTGGAGAGCATCCTACTTCTGTGCCACCGATGCTTGATGGACGAGTGAGTGTATTTGTTAAGGTTTATGAGGCGCATTTCAATGAGCTACCACAAAAACGAATTTTAACTAGGATATACTTGACAAATTTCAATAAGTTTGCGTCCAGTTTAGTTGGACCTAAGAAAAACAGATATTAGGAGACTGGAGGTTTAATTTTCTAATCCTCATGATTAGCTAATTAGTAAAAGAAAACACTGAAAGGCTAATGAAGTTTGAAAAAGATGTTAAAATTTTGTAACTTTCAATTTGTTTGATACTAGCTGTATGATATACTATTAGGTTTGTAGATATCTGATCGGTTTCTTAACGGAAATCGTCATTAACTGAACTCGAATAAGTATCAAAAAAGACAAGACTGGACAAGTGTCTCTTTCATTATTAGAAAATATTAGGTGAAATCTTGGGTCGTTCGGTTTCAAATCAAACGTATATTCACCCGGTCACTTAGATGGAATTCAATAATCTACCTAGCTTCTGACTCTTAACAGTCTTGTTCACATCGCACCAGGGAGGAGACGAGTTATTCTTACAAAACGTTCAGGTAATAAAGGAGAAAAAATAACTGTTCGAATAATGCATTACATTACTGTTTTAAATGCTTTATTTAACACAGAAATTAACGCTTTCATTTCAAGTTTACACAGGTATATATAACTTATAGTAGACTTCCCCAAACTGGACATCATCAAAGGATCAATTTATAGGATAGTTTCACTCAAGTCTAACTATTTCTTTATTCCTTTGCATTCCAAGTGAAAAATAAAGTTTCACGCTTTAGCTCTGGAGTTTCAGAATCAATAATTTTGGTTTTACGTGGTTTAATTGCTAGCCCTGTGTCCAACATTCCCTCCTTATTGGACTTACTGTCAGTTTTACCAGATTCCGGAGCACGTCAGAGAGGGATAGAATTCCGAATTTTACCACTCGACCACCGATTCACTACATTGCTCACCCACTTGATGGAACCCAGAAACGAACTGCGGACATTCATATCAGAATGAATGAATTAAAAGGAATATTACAGAGATAGAAAGTCAACCAGATAGCTTACCAGTTTCTTGATGACTGACAGGTAAATCAAATTCTTTTGTTTGTTCACAGGCTTTCACGAATCCAGAAACTTTTGCATTGTAATCAATAAGGAGATTGTTGAACATTTTCGGTAATCCATACCATTTAATCTTTTCGTTTTGCGTATCAGCCACAATCTCAGCAGATATGTAGGCTAATCAAAAAGAGAAAATAACACCAAAAGTAGACGGTGACACGATTTGAGGCGAATGTAATAGATTAATGGATAATTCTATTCTATGGTACATCCCCTCACAGATCAACATCATCACTCGATAGCTGCTTCGTTGTAGCGTGTGACAATTTAGCATTACATATTCATGTTCCTTCCAAGGATGGAAGGCAGAATCACGGTCCAGCTGGATGAAGTTACTGTTAATCTGTTTTTTCATGAACTCTGTTATCATTATTATATTATTGTTCCGTTGGGTTCCAAGTAGAACACAATGCATCTCCACTCTCTCCCATTTTCTTCTGTCTTCTCTAGCTGGGCCCACGATTTCCCATAATCTCTCATCTTCTTCTTGCACGATCTCCTCCATGTCACCCTCGCACCGACGACTCACTCGTCACTTCCCATCAGGATTCCACTCGAGCTATGGCCTGTACTCCGCGCAGTATCAGTCAACAGTCTCCTCAGTGTGCAAACAATCCATCTCAATTTTCTCTTATATATTTGTTGAGCAATCTGCTCCTAGTTGGTTTGTTGCCAGAGTTTCTTTCTGGCCTAGCATTTGATCTGCATTATAGAGCCAGCGAAATCAGCTGTTGATAAAAGACTGAAGCCTGTTAGAGATGCTTTTCATGCTACTCAATGCAAGTTTTTGATCCATATAGTAGAACTGACTGAATTCACATTTGGGTTGAAAATCCGAATTTCCAAATCCCCATTTACGCATTTAGAAGAAACAACATACTGAGCGAAGAAATAAATTGTTTTTTCAATTAGTTTCTCATCATCGGCTGGCTCTACACTAATATACAGTTTTTTGCATCAAAATTTTCACCAATCTGGTCGTTATTTTAGTTACTCAGTTTTAGATATGGTGGGGGTGGGTGGGTGAAATTAAGAGGTTCAATGTCATCAAAACAAATAACTGATTGATGTTAGCAACAAGATATCTAAGTTTTAAAATAGGGGTGAAAATTATTTAATTAATTATGCAGAGATTTGTTGCCAACGCCTAAGACTCAATTTATCTTGAATTCCGTAATTAATTTTCACCCCTCTTTTAAAACTTAGATATCTCGTTACTAAAATCTATCAGTTATTTGTTTTGATGACATTTAACCTCTTAATTTCACCCACCCCCACCATATCTAAAACTGAGTAACTAAAATAACGACCAGATTGGTGAAAATTTTGATGCAAAAAACTGTATATTAGTGTAGAGACAGCCAGTAATGAGGAACTAATTGAAAAGAAAACCCGAATCTTGTTCTTTGTGCTGAGTTAGTGCAGAAGATTTTCAAACTGATTCTGAGATGACCTTTCCGACTCTGGCTGGCTCTAACATCTTCATCCATTCCGACTGCTTGTGGTTGAAATAATACTCCCTAGATGAGTGAAGGAAGCAACCTCTGTCAAATCTCTCATCTTGGTTGTGATTGGTGTTGGTTGTTGTTGCTGTCGGTTGGTTGGTTGACTATCTTCATCACCTCCATCTCCACCTTCGCCATGTTCACCTGACGTCTTGTCTTCGCTGCCACCCCGTTCTCTCAGTTTGTTGATTTTCACGTGAAAGACTTCGAGTGTGTGTGTGTGTGTGTGACAGTAAACATATATCATCCGCAATATCTATTTATTCTACTGTCTTCTTACCGGTGGTCCAGCGTATTCCTGTCTTCTCACTCCCGACGCATGCTGTGTGGCATAATCCAGTCCACCACAATTAAGAATATCATCGATGATAATAGACAGACTGCCTTGTCTTACTCCTGTATTCACTTCGAGGGCCTCGCTGAGTTTTCCGTTGTGGATCACCTGGCACCTGGTACCGACATATAGACAGGTGTTCAATGAAGTTGATAAAGATTTGAAGTAGTTTCCAAATTACGTCTCGGTCAACGCTGTTTGACGAAGGCCTTCCCGAAGTCGATGAAGTTGAGTTAGAGAGAGTTTTGACTGCCATTCTATGTTTACTTCTGTGATGGCATTGCGTAGAGTTGCAATTCGATCAGTACATGATTCGTATTTCCTAAATCCAACTTGTTTCGAGCTGGCGGAGTTCTGCATCCAGTGCATGTTTTATTCTCTCCGGAAAGACACCACTTAGTATTTTACTTGACATTGACAAGAGCATGATTCCACCGCCAGTTCTTGCTCAGGCCTTACTAGGTAACCCTTCTTTGGTAGCTTGACAAGGTAGTCAGCCTTTCTTCCAATCGCTCCATTATGGATAAGATTTTATTTTGATAAATCACACAGTGTTGTACAGTTATATAATAATATAATATAAATATAATATATCTGTGCAACGCTGTGTGATTTATCAAAATAAAATCTTATCCATAATAGAGTTATACTCTACCACAGTGCCCAAGTTTTATACTTATATTTCTTCCAATCGGTAGGCTCCTTTCCTTCCTTCTAAAACCTTCACAATAATGGCATTCGCATATCTGCCACAGTCTGTATTTTCGTTTTCAGTGCTTCAGAGTGGAGAAGAATTCCCACAGGCCATGCTGCCTTCCCGGCTGGCGCTCATTAGCTTGACTGCGCTCAAGATTTTTGCTTTCATTGGAGAATTGGTGTCCACTGGTAGGTATTTGTGTGCTTCCTGTTGGTGCTGGTGGTGTTTCTGGTCGATTCGCAGGTGATGATCGATAGAAGAGTCCTTCAAAGTGATTGGCCCATTGTTTTATCTGTCTCTCCTCCTTCATAAATTCTACTTTCTGTGAATTCACGATAAAGTACAGTCTCAATTTAACGTAATTGGTGAAAGACATTTACTTGTGTATTTTTGTACAATGTGAACTTTTCTCGCTTTCCAAGCCTAAACGTTATTTCGTCAGAGTTATAGGTGTCATCTTTACCGCTGCTCAAAAATAAACACTTGAAATTCAGATGCATGTAGGAGATAGCATCAATCCTGATGTACTGGGTGATGATAATATCAAAGGATCTATTAAAATCCAGTTTCAATAATTGAAAATATGAATCTTTGATACCTCTGTGACATTATTCTGTCCAACGAGTTATTATGTAGTACACAGATCTGCGCTCTGTATAACTGCATGACAGTGAGACATGATAAATATAATGTATGAAAAATTACGGGCCCAGTCGCATGCACAATGTGTAGCAATGTAGTGAGTAATGTACATATGAGACATATTGCACAGGAACGAAGGTAAGTTTGTTGATGAGCCTGCGAATGTTAATGTGTTAAATTAAAAAAACTATGCGAACTGACAGTGTCTGATGGTTGCACTTGACAGTGCACGACGCTTGGATGATGATCTCTGAAAATTAAAAGCAGTGCGTGGTGTTTCTTGGTGATATTGTCTCATAGTCATTTACAAAAACGAATTCACTCCTTAGTAAGATCTTGGATTCTAAACTTCATCTCCCCGTGACACTCAAATTTGTTGATCGTAGAACCAACATATTTCTGTTTTCCTTTTTTGTGTGTCTAATCGATGTGTGAAGAATTCCTATGTTGATCCATCAGTCAGAACTATGCGTTCTATTATGACGTCTCAAAATCAGGTCAAAACTATCTTCCGCTGTTCCTTTCACATAGTATTTCAGTTAATCCCCATGTACCGATCTAAGTCGATACATAAAAGAGGAGTTCGGATTGCACTCTCCATTATAATGATTTACGTTTTTCTCAATATTTATAGCTGATTAAAAAATTGTCATAGAATTAGGCTTGATTACATTTTTGTTACTTTTTGTTATTGTAATAAAAAATTTTCAGGAAAATTTCCACTTAATCTGTATTGTTTGACAAGTGCTGTACTCCACTCGAAAATAGTGATCCTATCCAAGTACTGAAACGGTTAATAATCAAGCAGAAAATTAATAATAATCTCACCAAAAATACTTTTTCTTTATGCGCAAATTAACATAAACACAAATAGACACACACACACACACATTTGAACATCACAGGATAAATATTTCGAAATAGATGAAACAAACAACAAACAAATGACAATAATAATAACAAAAAGAATATCTCTTAAAAACAAAACAAAATCTTCGCAGATTTCAGATATTCACAGGAAGAAACCATTGATTATTGGCTTTTGCCTAGATATTTTTTATTTTCTAATAGTAATTGGTTGAAAGTTTGATGAAAAAAAGAGAAACAAGTAGTCAACCTATTGTTCACTAATCCTGAACAATGGGATTTTATCTCACTATAGCCTTGATTAAATGGGGAACATAATAAGTGTGTTACTATAAGCTAAAGGTAGGTCATAAGTTACACCTCGACTGGCTACTTCAGACCGTGTTGTCATAAGCGTTGGTGTTTTGTCTTATTCACTCTGAACAACTAAGGACTATAACTGAATAGAATGTGTGGGTTAAAAAGCTCTTCAATCTCGCAGTTTTATCAGTCCTATGTAATCTGACAGTAATAACTTCAACATTACACCGTTTATCTCCCTCCCTAATTCTTAAAATTACAGTCATACATGTGGTGAACAGGATACAGAAATGTTGATAACTGTTAATGAATCAGATATTTGATGGTGATAAAGAAATTCTTAAAGTGCAAAAGCTTCTACAGTGTTTTGCTTTTTTGAGAACTGATTACTTGCATGAAGCGACTGAAGATTTAACGAGTCCGTGGTTGTTGTAAAAGGAATGAGTATCCAAATGATGCACACTATTTCAGTACAACTATTGAGACTGGAATCCTAGCCAACAGCAACAACAACAACAGACAACAATCAGCATAAGTGGGAAGAACCTGAGAGAAACAACCTCCTTCACCTACCTGGGAAGCATCGTCTCAACTACAGGCGGAACTGACGAGGATATCAAAGCCAGAATCGGAAAAGCAAGACAAGCTTTCATTACTCTCAAATCTGTATGGAGGTCAACAGCACTGCTCAGCATCAAAAATAACATCCGGATTTTCAACTCCAATGTGAAGTCAGTCAGTGCTACTATACGGATCAGAGACTTGGCCAGCGAGTCATAAAGAGCATCTCAAACAAACTTCAGACCTTCATTAACAGTTGTCTTCGCTCAATACTCGAGATCAGATGGCCGGCCAGAAAACATCAGCAACAGGGATCTCTGGTAGTGAGCGAACCAACCAGGAGCCGATTGTGAAACAAATAGGCAGGAAGAAATGGAGATGGATTGGCTGGCCATACTCTGAGGAAACCAGCAAGTGACATCACTAGACAAGCCATTACTCGAGTGGAACCTGAAAGGGAAGCGGTGAGTTGGTCGTCAGTGCAAGGGTGACTTGGAGGAGGTCATGCGAGGAGGAGATGAAAGCATGTGGACAGACCTGGAGCGGGGTGAAAAAGTTGTCAGAAAACAGAAGGCAATGGAGGTGCGCAGCTGAAGCCCTATGTTCCTCTAGGAACTAAAGGATACAATAATAATATAATAATAATAACCATTAATAGCCAAGAAGGGTTTACTGAAAAATGAATGTATGCTCAACAGTAATCTTATACATCAGGCTCTAGCAGCTCATTTTGTGAGCAAACTTTATAAATGCTAACCATTTACAAGATAAATAATGAAAGTACCTCAAAAAAAGCTATATAGGTAATTTCTAGAGATAATTAGAAAATTTGTTTGCCAGAGCATATAAACAAACATACCTGGATTTACAAACTTGACAGATTCTTTTACGCTACCTTCTGCAAGAGTCGGATCGACTGAACCAACTAGTAAGTTCATCTCCAAGCTCACATCTTTTTGGTTAGCCGGTAGTTTCACTCGAAATGTTGTTTGTTTGCCGGATACTTTGGATTTTATTGTCTCAATTTTTGGCTCCATAAACTCCAGTAATATATAAGTTGGTCTACAGGCAACATTATCTGCAATCACCTGTTGGTCAAGAAAGAGAAAGCGAAAGAGCAAAAGCATGAAATTATTAAAGTTTAATAATAAGAATGGTAAGTTTGAACACGACAAATATTTAATAAAGCAATTAATTAATGTACTCTTGTTTAGCTCATGTCGTTTCTCTTACAAATAGTGGTTATTTTAGGAAAAAAAAGCAACACAACTCACGAAAACTCGTCCTACGAGACACCCGTTTTGCCTAGGTATTTAAGGAGATGCTTTGGTGAGGAATTATGTGACTTTCACTCATATTATAGCGGATAAAAAAGTTAACTGTAACAAATTACTAATCTGATAGATCCGCTATCTAAAAATAGTTTTCGTAGGCACAGATGAATGATTTTGGTAGAAAAGATAAGTGATGGTTAAATTTACAACAACAACAACTGATTCCAAACTACTTGTGTGATACAGTATTTGTCAAGCAGAAACGAAAAACACTTCTTCATAATAACCAGCGACAAACTGTAAATTTATGATTGGTTTAGTGTGGGTGATATGTTGATCTTAAAACTGATGAGGTCGCGTTCAAGCGAAAGCAGAAGAAATCCTAAATTGCATTCTGTACTCACTGACTGCAGATATCAGTCAAGATGACAACAATTTGTAATGGTATATCATTAATTTTAACCAAATTTAACGATGATAAGTTTGTAGTTGTCGACAGTTATCAGCCACGATTGTGTCTCAAAAGGTAAGAACTCTAAGCACATACGCGTGCATATTATCAAGCGTTATATTAGGAAATAATATCGTTACAAGAATCAGGTCAAGACTATCTGCCTCCAGAGCTAGATGTTGCATATTTACACCTTAGCCACACTATACTATCCGCATTCTATGCAGTATATGTAGTGCACATATGATTTTGACTGGTCAGTGGGAGAAATGACTTCAGATATTTAATAGGAAACCAGATGCATTTAGATTTAAAGTCACTATTCCTCAGTTTGCATATAAAAGGATGAGTATGTGTATCAGCATAGACTCACTTTTGAACCAATATGAACAGTTGCATCCATCTCAGTTTCTTGTGTTTCTTGATCATGTTGAATAGCGTCAATTGTCATGCTCAACTGAGCATCTAGATTTTTACAACGCAGGAAAAAGAGAATACATATGAAGGATTAAGAAGTACTGAAAGCATTAAAGGTACTTTAAGTTTAAAAGGCATATTGTTAAATATGTTTATGTAAGATCGCACATACTCTTATATTCGGTAAGAAATAAGTAAGAAATCTCTTTCAATAAATGTATTTGAAGAGAAGAAATGTATATATGAAACAAACTTATCTAGTGTAGAAGTACATTCTACCACAGTGCCGAAGTTATAAAGTTACACTAAGAAATGAATAACCTTGATTATTAGGCAAAGCTGCCCAACCACTGAAAGCACCTGGCATGGGATTGATGAGAATAAAATGACTAGAGAACACAGTTGTTAAGGAGATGTTCATAATATATATTACACAACATATATATATATTATTAGGTTATATAATTTTTCACCGACTGTGAAATATTACAGTCGTGAATTTTCAAGCCAAGGAAGTTACAGGTGACTGTCACGAAATCTGGATCATTACTTTGGCGTACTAATGCCAAATAAAAGAAAACACTGTGTTAAGAAGTGTGAGTCAAACTTGTTATCAAAATGTGCAAACAATCACTAGATGCTAGGTGACTTTATGTACCTGCAGAACGTCATTAATAAGTCACTGGGGTACTTGGGGTGCATCTTCTCGAATAACACTACAACTGTCCAAAACTAACAATCTGATGTTTTGATTATTCATGAAAAGGATTCACGAAGGAATTCACTGTATTTTAACAGTCAGTATTGTTTAGACTAAACTATATAATTGTTTTAGGATCCCACAGGGTAAGCTTAGTAAATCACTTAAGTGTACACTCTGCTTAAACCGTGATTCTGAATCACGTGTATACTATTCAAGTTACTGTTTCCATTAGGTCAGTTCAACTTCTTAAGTACAGCAAAGATAGAAGTCAAAAACGTTAAAATGAAAAAATGACACATGGAATTAGTAGTGAATACATACACTACTTACTTGTTTCAACTGAGATTTGTACAGATGAAATTTTTAAATTTGTCTACTTTTCACTCGGCTCCCATTTATTGTGGAACTATTTGGTCAAATCTTAATCAAAGCTCGTTTAAAATACAAACACATTATGTCTAAGTCCTAGCAATTTATTCAGTCACCTTAAAAATAATCTGTCACTGAAGAGAACTACTCAAATGTCCCTTAAGCGCCAGATTCGATAGTACCATATGTTGGCCATCAATTGACAGCCACTAAATTAGCAATTTGAATAGCATGCAAAATATTAGCATAGTCAGATATTTTTTTCAAATGTAACTCATTTGACCAAACTGGTACCTTTTGAATGTGGTCTGAATGACCATTTCACTAGCAAGACAAATTGAAGTCTACTTACTGTTCTGTATATTACCACTTACCATGATCAGTTTCAAATGCATCGCTCACTTTTGCATTTTAGCATCAGAGAAATTATGATCTGTGTTGCTAACAAAGCTGCCCACGATAGGCAATAATGAAGTTTACCATTTAGGTACTAACAATTCAAATGCATCTTGGGCAAATCATGTAGGGAGACACTTAATTTTTTACCTATCCAAATAACGGTTTTCAAAGTGCTTAAGCTAAGTAATTCAATGCGTCAGTGAACTGGAATTGAAAGGAAACGCCTGAAGTGGACATTATTATGCAAACATTTTAGTAAATCTGAAGTTTTCTAAAACTAGGATTAAAAACATATTAGAAACCTTTACTTAATTTGTTTTCACCACTGTACGCATACACGCTTGTTTATTCAATGATTTACAAAAATTACTATTAATATTTATACTATACTATGTCAACCTAGTTAAAAGGATATGTTCTTAAAACGGGATATAAATTACGGTAATAAATAAAACTATTTAAACGTAAATCTACAAAAATTCTTGATAGAGTAATTCATCATATATATTGGACACTCAGAGTGGACTGCAAAATCAGATTACTTTGTTTTGATGGAATCCATTATTGCATGACATGTTTTAAATATTAAAAATATAAAATAAAGTAAAACGTAGTCAGTGAATGTTTGTCAGCTATTAGAGAAACGTTTCTATCCTCACTTTCTCCCATTGTCTCCCTCTCAAGTACTATCTGAAGGATGACCAGTATCATTTGTTAATGTAGAGTTGATGAAAGTGAAGCATTCGTCCACAAACCTCAGTCTTCGCTTTACCATCTATATACATAATGCAAATGACCACATTCGAAGTTAGCAATTGTTACTCTGATCAACATGATGTGATTTAGTGACGAGTTTTTTTTCAAATGATGATATACACCGATTTATTCAGGCACCAAGAAGAAAAGAAATCAATTCAAGGAAGAACTTACAAGACGTACAGTCGAATTTATATGTAAAAAGGAGACAGTTAGTTACATGAATATTGCCCAGCCAGTATGCATATGATGAACAATAATTAACATGATTGTTTGGGGATTTGTGATTTAAGTGGATAGAATGCAGGAAATGATATTAAAGGGAGAGATTGATTTTGAAACCACTAGTTGGATCGTTTGAGGTTTAAACATGATAAAGTGAAGCGAGATGAAACTAACAAAAAAAGAATAGTATTGCAGACAAACCAGAAGAAACCTTACTTAATGCTGTTCCCCGTACAGATTTCAAGATGTGTTTTATACATAACGTTTACTTTAGCGGTACATAACTGATGAGAATGTGAAAAGTTGAAGTGGCTGAATTTAGTTTCGTGCAGTTTAATGATCCGATCCAATAAAATTTACGGTAATGTACGAATTCGCTATCCTAATTCCATCTGTTATGAACTGAACCGGCTACTTTTTCACAACAGCAATCAGCTTCCACAGGAGCATATTAACTGGTATACACGTGTAGCGCCCAACACATGCGATGAGCTATTTCCCACATATTGCGAAATAATATCTATTCGCGGTGCTCTAACTTTTTAATACGTCCACTAAGGACATAACCAGAGAAATTAAAACTTTCAGATAACAAATAGATAAAGGGTTTCACCGAAGGTGTGTCGATAAATGGTTAAACTTAAACTACTCACTTCCAGCACTTTGGCACCTCCAGGGTGAAGTGCCAAAGAAGACGCTAGTTATGAATACAGTGCAATAGCTGAATTTATGAAGAGTCGTCTAAGTAAAGCAACCTCACTTTCTCCCTTGTTAACTTACGTCAATCATACTAAACTATGATGAAAAGTACAGAATGGGAGATTCCAATAAGTCATTTTGCATTTTAGGACTTATCACTTTTAGAAGAAGTAAAATGACTTAGTGAAAATTCTTAGCGTTGTTAAGCAGTTTATGTGGCAGGAATTCAGACACAATTAAAATCTACTCATTGTTGGATAGATAACACGGTTAAACATTATTATTTATTGGATGACGTTCCCAACAAGATTTATTGTTCAGAATCATAAAAGTTTTAATTACTCGACTTAGAAACTTGGTTTTTATAGTTATCATCTTTCCTTCCCATTTTGTTTTATTCACTCAGCTACTGGGTTTTGTTATTATTATTCATCCCTTGCGTTAGATTAGAATACAGGGTTTCAGGGGAAAACTAGGTTCTCCACTACCACTTCACATGGATCCACGGCAGGTTAAAAGCTTGCAGTCCATCTTCACATGATCTCCCCCACGTCATTCTAGGACGTACAATCCGTCACTTCCCATTTTTGCTCCACTTGAGGGCCTGGCTACTTACTAAACACTAAATGCACTAGGTTCTAGTGTACACCATTGCCACATATCTAAAATGCCTTTGCTGCTTAAAACAGAGACATCTTTCGATGAAGAATGTATACCGACTAAATGTGAACTGGTAATCCACTTAGGTTTGTGAATCAGACACGTCGTTAGTTGAATAACTCAGTCATCCTATGAAAAGAGAGAGCCTATCATGTTTCTAAGTTGACTAACAGTTATCTAGTGGTAGTTCTATAACATTATTTCCCATATCGATGGAAGAAATTTTTTATTCGCGTGAAGTTGGGTAAGTTTTCCGCGAAATACCAAAGCAAAGAAGTTCTAAGCTTCAATCTGATAAGGCGAATAAAAGTAACAAAATGATGAGAAAACCCTTAAATGTAACGTAATGAAAATGAAATGGATTTATTTCCACTTTAATAACTTTTCTTCAAAATGATTATAAAACAAAGTATCCTAAAATCTCTAGTTGGCATGTTTAGCGAAAAACGTAGGCGGTGAATAGATGTAACCATTCAGTCTATGTGTACGTACAAACATGTGTATTTGCATGTTTAATGCATGTAAATAATAAATGTGAATTAAATTGTTTGTTATCAATTTATACTCATCAGTTATTATGGTTCTTTAATAACTGAATCACCTACCTTTTATATCATCTTTTACTGTCTCACCGAGAGCACTTGAGGTAACCAGATCAACACTAGATTCATCAACTTCACCTTTCGTCATCAATTTGTATACATCCGAAGTAGACGGGTCTTTCAGTGTAAACTGGATCACTTGTCCATGAGTTGTGCGTATACACTTTACAATTTCATCATTTTCTGTGTTACATTGTCCGCCTAGAAGATAAAAAGTTGAAACAGAAAAGGACAATTGTTACGATTTGTGTTCCAGCAGAAAAGTGCTACAGATACATTTCACATCAAAACGGAGTATTGCTTCACGCTACTTTATTGAGGGGGGAAGGATATTGACGGAGTAATAACAAATCAGATACCAACTCTTCACATTTTTTTACGAGACAAACAAACAAACAAACTGGGTTAACAATGTATTCACTATAATTTATAGCGACCTGTTTTAAAAATTAGTTGGCAAGGCAAATTATTCTCTCACAAAGATGAATCAGTAGTGTTTTGAAAAATGAGAAAAAGAATAACTAAATTTAGTTGCATCTCTGATCAGTCTATCTGACTGCATAGATAATAGGACGAAGTCAAATTAGTCTTTTCATCGGTTTTTACTTTGCTGAAAATATTCTGCTAGTTTATGATAGTTTGAATAAAAAATTTATGAATAAATCAGATTCAAATCACAAATGCACTTGCAATATACATCAGATGTCTCTGAAAAAAAGCTAGTAATGTTCATCTACTCGCATATCAGAAGATGTAACTTCTTCAGGCAAGCTTTATCGACTGCCGATATATGCTAGGAGAAAACTTTTTATGCTGTACACATAGTGAATATGATAACTTGGTCAAATAATTGTATGCTTGATTGACAGCTACCAGCGTGATATTCCAAATGCTGCTTATACAATATACGCTGGTGAATAAAGTCAAACGATGACTATGGCCGAGTACGATGAATATGAAAATTAGTTTGACTAGATGAGGAAAATAAGAAATAAGAAAATCCATGTTAGACACGTTCACAAAGCAAATAGAGTCATAAGGAAGAGTAGAGAGCTTTATGCATGTGATTGGTTATTTGTGTCCCAGAATGTGGACACTAAACTAATAATAATAATAATAATAATGTGAATGAGATAAATAAAAATCAGTTCTATAAATTAGACGTTATATTTGTTGACTATTTGGTGAAGAAAAGAGAAAAATTGCATAATGATAACGCTAATAATAGTAAGAATAATAATGATGATAATACCACAAAAACCACGATATAGTCAACAAATCAATCGATGGATATTTAAACGTATTGCAGAGGTGGGACACACTCATTTTCCTAATAATAACCTCAGTAGTTAGGAGTAGAACTCAATAAAACAAAAGAGAGTTGCCATTCTGAATGTGCATGACGGCAATAGCTGAATAACTGGATGAGTATACCGCGCAGTTCGCAACATAATACAGAAAAATAAAACCAAACTAAAGTAGGCAGTTAACCAGGATGTAATAGACAAGTAGGTATAAACAATGTACAGTAGAGAATAAAAACTAGTGTATTTTGTTAAGGTCGCGACGTCTATTAATCTTTGTGGAGGTAAAAGAAAGCGCAAGAAGTAGAAACGAAAAATAAGCAATAAGTTGTGGCGAAAAATCACGAACCAAAAAAGTAAACAAAATAAAGAGAATGCGGAAAATTGACATTATGATTTCTTTTTCTCCTTCCTGGCGTCTGATTGGAACATGGGTCTTCAAGCTTTGAACTTTCATCTACAATAACGTTGCTGGTTACAAGGCATAGTTGTTATTTACCCACCCAACCCGCTAGTCATCATCAACCAAAACGGCTGCATTTCTTCTATTGGAACTGTATTCTGACTCAAAACCATACTCAAAATTTCCGAGGAATTCGATATGGGGAAAAGTATCCAATGTTAGTATTTAACTTTTGAATGCTGAAGAAACTCTCTTCCCTCAACGACAACTGAATAGAGCTCACAAGAAAGGAGAATCGATGCTTAACTATTCATGAATATTGTAAATACGCTTTAGTTTTTAATGAAGATGGTGCTAAAGATTTCAACAAGAGTGTCAATCTAATATGCATGTCCCAATACAGAAGCTCAGAGAACACAAACCAACTTCCGGTTCTGCTGCTTTGTAGTAGCTGACAAATGTTTAGGGAAAATCATCCGTATATTATCCTTAGACTAGTAGTTTTCTCTTTTTTTATGTTTACATTTTAGTAGAAAAGGATGTTTCTACCACTTTATGTCCTTAATTATATCGTTGTTCAACCGCTTTGTATGGCCATTTAGATCAACTCTTTATTTGGTATTTTTATCTCGACATCAGTTTTTGTGTTTCTCTTTATCTGTTTATTTCCAGATCCATTTCTTCTTTCTCCAGGGTCATATACCAAAGTCATACTGAGTTTTTGGTATAAGTGTTTCAAATTACGGTATGTGATATGATGGGACGACGTTGAGATGAACAACAAGAGACAATAGTCGGTCGGTGAAAATCTTGTGTTTTATAATAAATAAAGTAAATCGAAATGTGAAAACTCTTAAGTGATACCGGTAAGCGATTTTAATCATATATCAGCTACGGAAACTGTCAGTTAGCTTCTCAAAGGAAAAGTTGAGCCTTTATGAACAATACAAGTAAATTCCAAACAGAAGAAAAACCCACACTACTTTTCAGCTGCTGCATAATAATAACACAGCTTTAATAAAAGCAAAAAACAGATAACAGTGGTAAGTATCTTCCACCTGTTTTCCAATTAGAACCCAAGAGAATACTATTAATAATGATAAGTATTCGTATGCAGTGTGTACTACTGAGTTTGTAAGTAGTTTACTGTGGAGGCCTTCTACAAGCAACTTCACTATTGGAGAAAAGAATTAGTTCGCAGATTGGTAGAACGAAGAATACTGTAAACAAATTTAGGAAGTTGGACAGCCATTTAATCCTAGTTTCGGACTCATTGGCAGTTCGCACCCAGTGGGTTTCGAACTCCGGACCCTCTGCTTACAACGTCCCCTATTTCAGTAAGGATAAAACTTTATTTTAATAAAATCACACCGTGTTATACAGTAATATTTGGCGATGATGTTTCAAGCACAAAGTATTGTCCATAACCAAGAAGTTGTGTGAGTACCTTGATATGATTACCAGCAATAATTGGTGCTTGAGACGTCATCAATAAACATAACTGTATAACACTGTGTGATTTTATCAAAATAAAATCTTATCCACAATGCAATTATACTCTACCACAGTGGAAGCTCGGATTTCAATCAGCCACTGGGACCTCTAAATACAGCAGGCATGAAATGAAAAAAAAGGAGGAGAACAAGAATAATTTGTGCGATTTGCAGTTTAAAAGTAAAGTTGTCTCATTTAGTCATGACTGTGTGTAATTAGAGTTTGATCATTTCGAAGAATAAAACTTCATGACTCTTACGTAGCGCGTGCTATTAATTTATTACATCGCTAAAATAATATCGAACTTCCGCTCCTAACTCTAAAATACTTTTGTAAATATTCCATACATACCAACAAGCTTACTGACACCCGTTATTGTTTGCTTTCAACTCTACATCTACTTACTTACGTAAATCTAATAGCTGGCATCTTCTAACCAAACAGACTAAAGTATGTCAGTATTCTCTATGTTGACGTTGAAACTGTTTCACATTGTATGCATTTGACAAGAATCGAAGAATTAAAATGATACTGTCCTGATCAATTTGTTGTCCTTGTTTTGCTTAAGTTGATCAAGGAGAAAATTGTAAAATATTTGCAATTTCGCTCAACAAAATAACTCATTATTCTAATTTTAAATGAAGACAAATTTAATAAATGTTTAGTGGCGCACAATATTGCCAAGTATATTGTATATCAAGTATGTATTCATCTGATCTGAATCAGATATTCAACTATTGTTGAAATTATGACTAGTTGAGTAAATCATTCAACCTTTAGCCACCAAGCCATAGGTTTTAATATCGTCTCATCTGCCCGTATTCAGGCAACCAAGTTGCATGACCAATCATAAACATAACTAAGCCTCCTTGACAGGCGTACTGACAAACATACAGTTGTTCTGGAGAGTTCTATCGAACAAAATCAAATGTTTCTATAATTTAGATTACGTATTTTTCGATAGTTAATGACAGCGAACACACTTCATGGCTTTCCACAACTGCTTAATTGCTGCTTTCAGAACCAATTTTAAAGTTAAGCAACTGTAAAGACGAAATTGGGTACCTGGAAAACATTCAAATTATCAAGGATTTAGTGTCATTCTTTCTGTCTAATAGAAAACAATTCATTCCGTTTGGTAGTGATTAGCACTTCTTTTCAGTACACGTTAAGAGTTCATAATGATTATTATTTTTAAATTACAAATAAAACAGTCTATCATTAGTGTCATACATATAGTTGATGAATGTGTAATCCATCATTCAAGATAGTACTAACCTTCAAGATGTACCGATGCAACAACCGTGCTTTCATCTTCACTAGAACAACCCGTACGTTGAAGTATTAACGTCTTAGGTTGACTGCCTTCAGCATTTTCAGCCAGTTGATGATACGCCCTAATATCCAATAGTTGTGAATCTCTTTGCCAGACCCACGCACGAATTTTATTCTCTCCACTAGGGGATATAACTAGAAAAAAAGAAGTATCTTGATGAACCAAAACATGTTTAAAATGAAACTGCAATAAGCTAGAAACCCTCTTCACTGTATCTACTATCCCTAAACAATCGAAAAACGAAAGTCTGCGAAACAAATTGTGTGAAATATTTTGAAGTAAGTCTTTGATTTCCTAGAGTATAATGGCAGATAAAAATGTTTCTGGTTTATTATCGTGATTAACTTCAATATCACCTATGTAATAAAAAAAATCAATACACATATCCATGTCACGCAATCGAAAGTGATCCATGAACAGACTACTGCAATTTTTTTGTTACTACTGCTTTTTCCTCTCACTGGAAATTTGCATACAACCAACACTAGCGACTACCACAGTTATCGCGAGACCCTAGAACAGTTTATGTTGATAAATTAAATACATCTAACCTTAAAATGCAGTCTATAAGTGAGACAGCACTAGTAAGGCAGAAATATTGGAATGAAATATGCTATACAGAAGCATGCCCCTCAAACTTGCAACAAAACAAAATATTTGTAAAGTGCCCTCTTAATCATAAGATGAGATTCTAGAAACTCTATGTGCTTTTTTAATGTTGGATACAAAGACATCACTCATACATCAGCTGATTTTTAAAAACGATTGATGACTCTGTGTTATTAGAGATTTTATAAAGGTATTTATTCCGATACATTTCTTCATTTTTGGAAGTTTCGTTACCATACACTATACACATTATGATATGCGATTATCATCACTCAAATATCTGTCTAAGGTCACAATATAAAGTATGTGTCTGACTGATTAAAGCATGTATTTCAATGTAGGAAACTAAATTGGATTACAACTCATAGCCATTATGAAGTAATTTGCACATTGACAACATTTACGTCGGCAATAGTTCTAGGTTCAGTGTATTAATTTACCGGCAAAAAGAATAAATAACCTGTTTGCTTAAATACAGATATTTGACGCTATATTTAAAATGCATACACATAACTCACTTTATATATATATATATATAAGTACCCAACCTAGAATATGGTATATTCGAAACTTACCTAGAGTTCGAAAGATATCTTTAATAACAGATTGAGAATCGGTGATTGGATTTTTCGATACACTCCATGTGATAGTAACTAAATTATCGTCAACAGCGTCTGGCCATGCCTCTTTTAATTCATATTTGTAGGCTGGGATAGACCACACTTCTGAGTCGTCTTTAACATCTGGAAATGCTTGTACAGTTGTCTCAAGTGTGAGCTATGAGTAAATAAACGAAAAATACACTTAAATGAACTGACCACAATCTTGTCAATATAATTCACTGGAAGCTAAGTTAACTGACGAGAGGCAAAAGCAATGTTGACGCATAACACGACTACTAGAAGGACAACATTTAACCATATCTAACGGCTTATGAGTTGAATTAAGACAGCCCAATATTAATGCAGGACAGAATTAGCTAACAAAGTCTGTTTATTTAAAAGTACAGTATTACCCAGAATTCACAGTTCACCAAGACCTTAGTTGTTTCTTCTGAGTAATCTAGGATAATCTAGTCACAGGAGACAAATCAGCCTTACTAATGTTAGTTCACGGAATTGAGAAATGGATAAGTTTGAATCTGGCTGTCTCTTACGAGTAATCATATATGAACTGAATAGCGGGAATGCAAAACATTTAGGTTGTTATCTGGCTGAAGAAATCAAATCTGCAGAAAATTTCCAACCACGATTTACTTTACATTTTCAAGTATTGGCTCTGTAGGAATTGTTTTTGATTGGTTGGGGGGGGGTCATTATTACATTTGTTTATTAGAACAATATTATTTGAGCTAACATTTTAATGTTAGTAAGAAAACGTTTTGTTTGTAGATAGGACGAAACGCTGACCGCTTAGGTTTTGCCACGACTATCAGCCGACATTCTTTAAGCGACAGATGATATCAGTCTGAAGTAAGATAGTAATTACTATATAGACTGGATAAAAGAAAGTTAATTCTTAGAAGTGCAAAACAAAATGATGTAAAAGAAAACTGACAATGGAGAGCTCTTCAGAAGGTGTTAGTACATGGTATAAAGTATCCAAAGAACCAATCAAACTATCACACACTGCCTGACTGGATTCATACATTTATTCACCAGTAATCGTAACTGCTAAAGTAATTCTACTGTGCATAACTATTTTTAGACCCTTAAAATGACACACTTGTGTCCAACGACTTCATCAATAGTGCTAAAGTTCACAACACGAAAATATGAATCTCACCGGTTCTGTCCTATTTTCCGCTTGTCCATTTTCCATAAATGTCACTTCCAGGTGGATGTTTTTCAACAAACTATGACCGACAATTTCAAACTTGAAATACCCTTCTTGTTCATTTTCTGGCAATTCAATAAATCCACCATTAGGTGTAATATTTTCCTCCACAAATACAGCTATATAACTTTTTTGAAATACAAAATCTGATAATGAAGGAAAGAAGGTAAAATACGAAATAGATTAAATACCTTAAGTTGTCGACAGATGACAAAATCAAATTGTGGTAAAATGGAAAACAACTTCTTCATATTTATGCTTAATGAATGCGCCTCAGCATTTTTCAAAGCTGTCTTAATGTCAATAGTGTAAGGAGGGAGATTTGAAGAGAAACGCTCTAGTTCCAAAAATGGCGTATAAATTATGGCTTTAGTGTTCAGCTATTCCACACAGCCATCTGAAGTTAGGAGGTATCGAAAATACCCAAATGTTAGTGAATGATCAGTAATCAAGAAGAGATTTCAGGTGATTAGATAAACTTGCTATGACTTCGGTAAACAGAATCAAAAGAATGAATAAGACTTTTGATCCCTATCTTATTTCTCCTGTTTACGCTTACTAGTATATAACTTGGTGAGTATGGATGACTCCTCTCTCCTAGTTATTACTGAAGGATGGTTACTAATTCACTTTTCTTCTCATTTTTATTCAGACATCTTTGCATACTAAGCAGTTGTAACGACATTTTTTTTAAAGCATAAAGTCAATCTGAACGAGGAATATTCTTTTCAATAATTTCTCTTCAGGCTCTTACAATTATAAAATATAATATTTGTTATCGTTACGAAAATGACCAGTTATGCGGTGGATAAGTTTTTCGCTCTGCACGTCTGTGTTTATCCTTCAGTAGCCGTCCAGTGTTCACCCAGCAACTCAAAGATATCTTACCTAAACTTAACTCTTCTTCATGCATATAATATTTCAACTGTTCCTGTGGTTCAAGTTATTTAGGGTGGAAGATTAGGAAGGTTCGTCTATGGGTTCGAGAACATTTACCAGCCGGGTTTAGCAAGGGAGGAACTAAGTGCATAAAAAGCTCTCTCTTATCACACTTGGTCGATACTTGACATCGCATCGACATCAACACAGCTTTCAGGGTTATATACCGAATTCCGAAGTCGTTATCACGTGCAGTTCACATACGTCTCCTACACATAGCTGAAGCTGTTGCAATAAGATCGACTAAACTGGAACTTTGTATCCAAAAAGAACAGGTCCAGACGCTGCTCCTACCGTAGCCGAGCTTGGAATGATGATTCTTCTTATCACCAAGAGTGCTTCTTCCCCTTAACTCGGTTTTTTCTTTCTTTGCTTATTACTATTATTATTTGTCATAATTTATACCTTTCATGCAAACATTCTCTCAATACTATCGAATTCCCCATTTATACTATCCGGACTTATTATTAGTGATATTATCTCTTTTCTCAATATATGCCTCCACCTGTTTCATTTAACATATTCGTTATCTCATTATGAACCTCATTGCAGTCTTACTATCTCCTCTTTAACTCAGACCACTTTGTACTAACCACTCACCTGACACCTTTTATAACCTTGAACTGACTTACTTGTCAATTTTCCTACCCCACACTCTACAAATCTATTATAACTAATCACCACTATTGTCTCCCATTTCACAATATTTTGTAATCGATTTCAGTCTAGCACGTTTGTCACACAAATATGACTATTTATTTTGACATGCCAAAATTAATCTGTTATTCTACGTAAAAATGTATCCGCCACATAACTGGCCATTATTTTAGCGATAACAAGGATTATATTTTATAATTGTAAGAACCTGAAGAGAAATTATTGCAAAGAATATTCTTCGTTCAGATTGATCTGCTTTTCAAAAATCCAACCGCTACTTTTAAGAAGTCAGTATGAATGAATAAAGGACTGAATAAGCCAGTTTTATTGCATAAAGACAAGTGCTACCCGTGATAAGCGGATAATTAAAACGAGATAGGACGCATGTTGTTTCCACAAAAAATCAGTCTGACTGACTTAGTTTTCAACAAAGAACTTTGCACAAAAGTGCGAAAGTTCAAGTTTCTACATTCCATACAGTCCACAGAGGTATACAAAAAGTGCAAAGGAATTATATAGGACATAAATGAACAGGAGAAAGAATAATTACACGGAGTATAATGAGAATCTGATGGATCTATAAATTCATAAAGAGTGAATATATCTCCATCGTTGAGAGGGATAACAAACTATTAAGGCCTCATTTATAAATGATCCCATAAATGGACTATGAGGAGATCGAGAAATAATTTATAAGAAGCCCACTGGAAGAACTGATACATTCTCGACGTATTTGTAGTTACTCACTTTATGGTTATTGACAGAAGTAACTCTGAATTATTCTCGTTTTCACCATGGAAACGTTAATGAATATTATCAATTAAAAATGAACTTTCAGGATTTAGCTTTTAAAATAAGCTCTGCAAATACCAGCTACTTACAGGAATGCAAAGGCATCATAGTAATTATTTGAGTTTTTACTAGTTGATCACGTATTGATATCAGTTAGAAAAACACTGAAAATCAGGGAGTACTGTACAGTTGGGAATCATCGGCAGTACGCACCAGTACGTCTACCACACTAGTATGAAACAGCTGTCCAGTACTCCCTGGTTTTCAGTGGTTCTTTAACTCATATCAATCCGTCGTCAACTAGTAAAAAGAAAACTAACCCTCACAAACCAACTATACAAAATTACTTGAGTAATATTTTTAATAGAAACAGTTATGATACTGATGTTATTCGCATTGCTTCTTGGACAATCTCTAATTATTCTTATAAATTCGCATTACTTAGGTAAGTAGTAATTTCATTTAATGTTGTCATTTTACAACAGGTGTTCTAAACACACAATCAGATGAGGATATGAGAGACAAACAATCGAGAAGACAAAGACGCAGGACAGAAATATCTGATGTAATGTTTTAATATATTTTCAAGTGTAGCAGTAAACGATTCTCCACAATATTTTATCTTCATTTTCTAAGTTTTATATAGTTGATTAAAACTGGCCTGAAGATTATGCATACCACAATTACAGATATTTCTCAAATGTTGGAATTGTGGGGATTTGTGTGATCCCAAGGAATGTTTCGTTAAGAACCAACATCAGTTAGGAATGAGTACTAATGAAATCAGGACTAGATTCTTCATTTCCAATACTTCGGCTTGGTTTACTCAATAATAAACGAATGCTGATAAAACTGTTTTCACAGGAAAAATGTAAGTGATATCTTACATATAATAGATATTACTGGCATTAACTTTCACAGTTCTGATGAGATTTAAACGGTGGAGTGCAGTTAGTATCAGTGCAGAAGGCTTATACCATACACGTTTATAGAAAAGCAAAAGACAAGAGTACTTCGTTCTGTCGATGAGACGAAAACTTTTAAACTAAGCCAATAAGACAGTCAAATACACCTGGAATTCGGCAGCGGCTATTGTAGAAGTTACAATTCAGATACCACCATAACTTCAAACTTTAAAAATGTCTGTTTAAAACCTCACCTTCATTAATCGACATTCGTCTGTGACATATTTACAAGTGAACGAATATTTTTCAAAAGTATGACTTACCTTGATCAAAGTCTGACTCTTTAAGGCTTGTAGACGGCGAGAAAAGTTGTGATTTCTTGCTATCAGTTGTCTGACAACTGCACTGATATTGTCCATAATACTGATGAGCTAGAAAATTAATCAAGAAAAGAATATTTAGACGTCAACAAATCGTGTGGGTGGGAATTAAACAGTTAACTGCACAAAACTGTTTCTACTGAAAGCTGAATTCTTATTGACTTGGAAATCTAACCGAGTAATAGTTTGCAGTTGATATGCTGTTTTTTATTTCAATGAAAAGCAACAGATTTTCCGGTATGGGGCCGTCGAAATTTTGAAATTCCTCAGAATAATTCAGAAACTTTCAAAAAGCAAAATACACGCCTGGAGGTATTTGTAGTTGGAGCATAAAAAGGATGAAATAGCCTAACGATTCAACACTTTGTACAGTGAAACCCGTAAAAGGGGACCATTATGCATTCGCTACTAGTTCTGTGTTTGGTCAATAGTTATGATTGCTTTTAAATATTTTAGGTTAGCAGTTTTGTTGGACGTACAACATTCTCTAGTCTTCTTCAACAATTTCGCCAGTATTCTCAGAATCAGTCAATGGCAATGTCAACTGCTTTCGTACTAGGTTATTCTGCTTACAACTAACCTATTGCATGAATCAAACAAATGAATGCGGACACATACAATTATTTGAATCGACTGGTGGATTATACTACAGGCCACAAAGTAACATGTAAAATCAAAATGAATAATATGATAGTTACCATTTGTTATTAAAACAAAAAGATACCTAGTAATGAGTACTAAGAGAATTCACATTCATCCGGAAATTTAAACAAAAATCCAACTAGAATAACAGACATCAACATGAAGCGAAGGAAAAACTTTTCAAAATACGGACATAGATTAAGCTGATAAAAGTAACAAGCCTAAAGTATGTTTAAAATAGATCCTTGAATCGGTAAATGTGTATGTTTGGCTGATACAAAAATTGGAAACCTAATAAACGGTTTCTGTATAAAGCACTATGTCGGTCTCAAAGGCGACATGATGACTTTAGTAATACAGATAAATTATGAATGATTTACGTGACACTACAATCTACGCGGTAAATTTCGTTTTGCTTTCTAGTCGCCCGTCATGTTTGCCTTAAAAAATATTCAATGATTTTGAATATTCATGGTGGATAATAATAATAATAATAATAAAGACCGTAGTTGTTAGTGAAATTCTTCACAAGATGCTTGATCACTTCCACTTATAGTTCCCAAAAGGAATCTACTTGTCTCTTAGAAAAGTTAGACTAAATGGTGATGAAAAGCACCTCAATGTAAGCAGGCGTACACTGCAAGAAAATGTCAGAAAACAAATGCTTTTAGTGAATAAGAAATTTAGAAAGATGAATGCATGCATACTTGCACATAATGAAGAAATCTCCTCTTCAAGATCAGATCAGTAAGTAGTCTTGTCTATAGATCACAGATAAATAAAATACGATGACATTCATTACGCCACTTTTTTGAGGTAACATTTAGAGTGAAATAACAACTAATTGTAAACACTAGTAGCGAAATAAAACAAATGAGCATTGACAGATACTAGAAAACGTAAGAAAAAGACGTAAACAGTGAAGAAAATTTTCTTTTCAACAAATTGTAGCCTCATATTGTATAGGCTACTGTACAACACTTTTCTTTTGAGGGTGAAGTACGAATTGGTAATCTCTTTTCTCAAGGTTAAAATCTGGTCATTGAGCATTAAAACAGATTATATATATATATATATGCTATTATCAATATCATTATAAAAATGCTAAAATGAAATTGAACAGATAAACGCATACATATATTCCCAGGTATATATTGCAATTAAATGGAATCATGTGCAACACTGAAGCATACTTATATGTTTTATAAATGAACCCTACGAGTACAATGAAAATCAATCAGTATATTTGACGCGATGTGAAGTGATCTCTTGACATGATTTCTGAAGTTTATTGAGTGAAACGAAATACCACCAGATTTAATACAAATACACAGTGTGAATGTTTGTTCACTACTATTAGACTACAAACCTAAATAAAAATTTTCATTGTTGCTGTTAAATGCAATGATTGCATCGGAAACTGGACGCCGTTTATTATAGAGAAAACTTACCATATATATGCGCATAGATATGCACCCACAAAGCTGTAACAAGCTGTGAGAAATAGGACAGTTAGATGCAGTGAATGTTGTACATTACTGAATGTTTGTACAGAAACCGAAATCACTCCACGGAAGCAATGACTGTGTAACTGAAAACAGAATCTGCTTTGTTCCTTACACGCCAGATTTAGAGAAAATCAAGTATAGGCACTCCTGATGAGAACATGAAGTTATAATTAATTAATTTTTTTAATCTCATTTGAAAATTGACAAAATTCCATGAGAAAATTAAAACAAGTTTATGAAGGCGTCAGTCTGTGGTATTTAAGCAACCAAATGTTATGACAGGTAATACATCAGTAATAAATACCATGAAACTGTGATCCAAGTCTTAAACTTTAAAGGGTGGGTTGCTAAGAAGGTGGCAACTTAAACACACAGGTTGTGAACACTTTAGATGAAGACGACTGGGAATGAAAATCATCTTGTGTCTTTGGTGATTCTGCCATGGATTTGTAATTCTTTTCTTTAAATCATCAGATAAAACTATCTTCGATTTAAGCCAACAGTCTTTGCCAGTGAACACATTTCTGGTTGTGAAATGAAGTATTGAAAACCTTCACAAAACTAGTGAACAGTCCAGAAGAAATATATTAATTTTGTCATATAACCAAATAAATATGCCCAGTGTTCATGGTGCTGTAGAAACATATGCATAAGATCAGGGGTCAAGATGTAACACAAGGTGAATGGTTTCAAGGCAGTCTCAATCATACAATCTTGTGCTTGACAATACTGGGAAAGCACTATCGTCCGCCTCCTTTCACTCTCTTTCTCCCTGCCTTTGCCTCTTCTATCCATAAATGCAAATAACTTAAAAAGGTTGTGATTCACTCGAACTTCAGCCAGAATATATTCATCTGTTGATGATGCTGAATATTTATTTATACAATATACAAACAATTTCAGTGTCCTAATTGTTTATGTCATTTTATAAATAAAAACATTCGTACAAATATTAAAAGGTATAATCTTTCGTAAATATCAAAAGGTTGAGAAATTCGCTTTGATTAAATCAAGTTAACGGAATGTGAAGAGCTAACTAAAAGCTTACTCATTATCTACAGAAAAGAAGTGTAATCCTAAAAGGTTGTGTCAGTATCGTTTGACTGGTGTTTAACGTCACTTTACTAGCCTATGCTGCATTGATAGCATTTCTAGGAAACACCTAATTGAATATAATGTTCTATATGACGGAATAAAATATGATCTAAGTAGGAAAACACAATCGATGAACAATAACAAGCATGTTCACTTCCAGAGATGATATCGAGAACAGAAGCGTTCCGAAAACATTCACGTGATAGGAGTACATTAACAAAAACGTTTATTTATCCATTTCATATGCATTCGATTTCAACTTTTTAGCTTCAACAACACTATAAAACACCCCAAGCTTCGGGTAATTTGTGAATATTTCAACATTCATGTCAGTAAGAGAAGCAAAAAAGTAATAATAATGAGCCTGTCAGTCGTGAATGTCAAGTATTTAACTGAAAATGTGTTACACTTTAATGAACTAAAAAAAATTAAAAGTAATTCTTTCCATCTATGCAAGTCCGTATTTGATCGCAGGCATTTGTGCACATCGAATGTGTTTAACTGTTTTTAGGCGTTTATATAAATGACAAAAAAGGCAGAGAAGTGGAAAGTGAAGAACAAAGAGTAGAAGGTAACAGAATTCTTTCTAAAAATGAATGATGATTTACATTTTCATTGTCTTTGTTTTTTTTATCTTGTTCGTCTTCTGTTGGATATTTCACCCGACTTTAAAATAATTCATATTGTCCAAAAGTAAGAATATCTTTAGGTAATAAAACTTTTATTATTACACGCGTATCGAAGAATTGAATTCCAAGTTAATATGATAAGAGTGCTAAGTAGATTTCAATTTGATGCATTATACTGTTAGCCAGCAGAAATTAAAACAACCATTCAACCGGCACTATACAACTGTTCATCAGTGTGTTAGAAGAGAATACTCTGAAACGGTTAATACTCTACACTCTGAATCCAGTTATCTGACTTCAAGTCTGTACGAGATCTTAACCCTGTTTAGTTTATTAGCCTAGAAAAGAGACGATGGTGGGCGTGGGGCTGGTAACCACATGTCGTACAAAAAAACACCCCCACCGCTATGAGAGCTTTACGGCACTGTAAGGAAACTAAAACTATTCTTGGCTAGAATAAGGAAGAATCCCCATTTCGAAAAGGTGTAATGCTAGCTGGTGAATGCCAACAGGAAATCTTTCGGTGGATAAGTCTTCTTTTGTCGACAGCATAGGAACATGGAATCGCAACACCATTTTTGAGGACGATATGTCTGTTCAGATTTCAGAGTCAGTGAATAAATGTGTTCTAGAAGTGTTATAAGATAGCAATAATACTAACTTTAATAATCATTATTGATGGTAATAATCCACGAGTATCTTAACTGTAAACTGCTTTTAACTCAGTAGGTGATGTGAATGAGATTTGTAGAGATGTAGGTTCATTCCAGCAGCGAGTAAAGGGCTAATTATGTGATTCCTAGTATACGACAAATTGAAAATAAGTTGGCCAATGTATACTGGTGATAGACTTCAAATAAACGAATTAGTTATGAATTATCACGTAAATTACCCTTGCCTGTGCCTGACGACAATTTTTACCTAGATTCATCATAGTTTAGAAAGGAAATATAGACATCTGAGTGATATTATATTGAAGAAATTAAATTTACGAAATAAAATCATAATAACCGGATAATAAGTAATCCAGGGAGATCCTGCTTCCAGATTGTCCACGTCGTAATGTTTATAATATCCTGTGCTACGTTAACAGATAAAACCTTACTACTAACAGGTGATGGCTATTACACGAAAGGGTACAGAAGATCATAGTCATCCTGTTTAGCAAGAAGTAAAA